ATGTTTGTCTATTAAGAAAATTAATAAAAGAAAATTAATAAAAAGTATTTTTTTTTAAAAAAAAAAAAAAGTTACCAGACCCAAGAGTCACTTAGGAAGGATGGAGTAATTTGCTCCTAATCCTTGGCTGGTGAGTCACAGACCATGACTATAAACACACCCAGGGGACTGGAGGGATCCACCTCTAGCAGATCTATACACAACCTCACCTGCCTGTACTTTTCTGAATTCAGTTAATTTGGCTCACAGATCTTTCACTTGTTATTTTGATAAATATAACATGTTAACCATCAGGTTGCCTCAGGCTCCTTCATCATGGGCATGGGGGCAGTATGGATTTTATGATGATATCACAGCCACTGCTGGGCAAGACTTGGCAGACACACTGGTAGCGCTTGTGTTTTGAAGAGTATGGCTGAGATAAATATGAATAGTAAGGTAGCGCTGGGACCTTGGCTTGCAGCAGGATTATTATAATGTTGGCTCCAACGTATTCTCTGTTTTTCCTATATGGGCTTAGCATGACATGTAACCTATCTTGAAACTCCCCACCCAAATGCAGCCATGATTTATTTAGCTCAGATCAAAGACATGCAGCTGCAAAGAACCTAATTAAAATTGGATGGTGCAGCAGGCAGACTACATCTATTATTTAATTTCTGAGGTTGTGATCTTATTCAGAATTAGGTTTTTTTTTCAGAATTCACTTACATGGCTGGCTCCCTTTTTCCCTCTGCACCAGGCTTGTATTTCGATCATGTTTCATATGGAATTGGAATGCCAGCTCTTTACAACAGATCTTCTGCTTGAATGAATGGCAATATGCAGAACTTTCCTTCCTTCCTTCCTTCCTTCCTTCCTTCCTTCCTTTTCTTTAATTTGATAAAAGTCATGCATATTTCTGGCAGCATGCATATTTATCAGAAACATCTTACATCATAAACACCCTTGTGGATCAGACTAAGTGTCCATGTGGTTCAGATTTGAAATCTGTGGCCTTTCCAGAAGTTACGGAACTACAACTCCCATCAGACCTGACTGTTGGCCATGCAGGTTGGGACTGATGTTGTTGGACTCCGGTTCCCAAGAGTCTTGCTCATTTTAATACATTGCTACTAATGTGTTGCATTGCATCAAGGAACATGGGAAAGATGAATTAATTAACAGTTATCTGTTGATTTAGAATAATTGGGCAAACGTATTAACTATTTCCCAGAATCCTACTAATTAGGAATCTTTTACATATTCCTAAATTGCAACATATTCCTAAATTCAGTGATTATTTATGGACAGATGCTTACAAATGCAACTGGCTGCACATGATGATGTCTTTTAAAGGTCAGTGTGAATTTTGTCATCGAGCAGAAGCACACTGGTGTAAACTGGTGTAGAAATGTGGCAGGACCTAAGACCGGAAGATATAAAACTGGAGAAATTAGAAACTGAGAAAAATGAAAACTGACAGGTTCATCTAACTCTAAATACTAATGCTATGGAAGGGAACAATATCTGTGCCAATCTTTTTGGCAGCACTTGGAAAGAATTGATCCAGCCATGGTTCTTTTTGTCCCTCTGCAAGTCCTCACCTATTTGTAAGACAAACATCTTTAATTTTCCCTCTTGTTAGAGATTAAGGGCCATTGACTTCAAGATGACATAGCATAGAATTTGCTTGAAGGCTGAGAGAGATGAGGTGAAAGGAAATCCTAACTACAAACACTCTACTCTTCTCTTTGCAATGCCCGTCATCCCTCCCTCTGCCGTATGGGCTTTGATAGTATGTGGGAGGAAAAAGATGAACCCCTATAACCCACGTATGTGGGGTAAAAAACCACAAAACTAAACTCACTCTTCTCAGTAGCTGAGTTTAAACTCACAAAATTCAAGCGGCAGTACAGTATGGGAATGTATGCTATTTTAAACCCTTTCCATATCCTGTTTAGTTGCATACAGCACTCCCCATTTTCTACCCCTCTTAGCATTGAACGGACTATGCCAGTATAGTAAGTTTAAAATGCTTTACTTACAAAACGTTCCAAAGGTCAGATTAATGCGCCTATCCAAGCAGCAAGGACTACACCTGCCTACAATGACAGGTTCTGGCAGATTGAGTGGATGAGACCAACAGTGGGCCCAATGGTCAAGAAGGCAGTTTCTGCAAGTGTTCTGTATGTTTGGTCATTTAAAATGCTGACCGTAGCTCCAGTTATTTTGATTTAAGACAAGGTGACACTGTAGCATGATTGTGTGGGCAAATGGAGGGAATTGCTGATTTTTGGTTCAAGGGGCATTTGGCAGATGAAATAATTTAATAAACTATTAATTAAACACCTGAGAGGTTATTGGATTATGGGGACCCCTTTGTCACCTCCTATTAGCTTTTCCTTGCCCGGGGGATGCTTTTGTTGATGGCCTTTAGACTTGGCATGCTCACCAAGATGAATGCTAGCCAGAGAGGCCATGATGTGCATGCCAGTTTCACATACCTAAAGCTTTGATGAATGACCATGGAATGTGGCTGTAAACATGCCCAGGGAAAGGAGAATTTCCCCCCTACTCATTGGTTAGGTCACTTGGCCAGAGTACACTCTTTTGACTAATCTGGTTTCTGCAGATCCTCTAATATGATATATTTTAACCCAGTGGCGTAGCGTGGGGGGGTGCAGGGGGGGCTGGCCGCACCGGGCGCAACATCTGGGGGTTAGGGTTAAGGGGCGCAAATCCACGGGTTAGGGGGCGCAAATCCACGGGTTAGGGGGCGCAAATTACTTGCCTTGCCCCGGGTGCTGACAACCCATGCTACGCCACTGTTTTAACCTGTTTATACCATCCTTGATGACCACTGAGTATTGTTTGTTGTGTGTGATGGCAAAGTTTTGATCTTACAATCTGTTGGAACCTTGCCTATCGGAATTGGCCTAGGCAACCAAACATCCCAGACATGATCCAGCCAAATTTAAACACCCTTTGGGCCCATAGTTTCCAGTGGGATAAAATTCAGCAAGCCCTTAGCTTTCCCACTGAAACCAAAGGGAATGAAATGTATTTAATTTTTGACTAGATTGTATCCTGCTTCCCACATTTAGCCACTGCAATTGCAGAGAGATTTCAGTAACTTGAAATTAGTTCCAAAACGTATTGTTTTGATTACCAGAAGGTTTCTTTCAATACGCATAAGAAAGAGATGTAAAACTTAATCAAAGAAATTATGTATATATATATGAGAATATATAAAGGAAAAAGAAATTCAAAATCATTTGGGAGGCATAACAGTTAATTGAATTTCAAATGCTGCAAATATGTTCTCCATAATGGTTCAATTTTCTTTTTTTCTGGATTACTGTTGCTCATTCCATTAGCCTAAACATACATGGTTAGCTTTTAGATTACAGTGCATTAGTCTAGCTGTTTCTTTTGCTGCTTACCCGGCTTCTATTTACCCTTCTCCATCCCTCCCACTCTCACTTCCCCACCCACCCCCATAAAGCCACTAAGTTGCCCTAGCAAGCTCGCTTAAAACAGCTACAGGAGAGGCCTGCAGCCACAGCTGGACAATCCAGTGCTTAATTATTTCTGTTTTCCATCATTGCCTCCAGAGGGTCATTAAGAAGTAAGATTCCTTCCTTCCGACTCCATCTACAGTGTTGAGTCCTGACTTGAGGAAAGCATCGAAGACATCACTTTGCTTGTTAAAAACCACTGCTTTATATTTCCAGCGGCAACAGTGAAACAGTCTCCGTGGATTTTGCTCTGCTTTGTATATGAGATAATGTTCTCTTTTGGGGGGCCCAAAGGGGGAAATAGTTCTCATTCCACAGTGTTACAAGTATTGTAATATACCCAGGAAATGAGTTTTAAAGCCACTAAACCTTATTATGAATGCAACTCCCCCGCTCCTTTGAAGGCATTTGGATATTGATTGGTGTTGGCCCCATGATGAGCTACAAAGAAGGAGGGTACGGTACTAAAATGAGAGAGAAAATGTGTTATTGAAAAATGCCAAATGCTTCTTCCATCAAGGGTGAATGGAAAGCCTATGCTTCTTGGCTCTTAGGTTTGAATCAGGAAATCTAGTGCATGTATGGAGAAACCTGTGGCCTTTCATCATCTCCCATCATCTCTGACCATGTTGGATAGAGTTAGAGGGACCATCATACCCTCTTTCTCCACTGCCATCTTGTGTGGCCAGTGTGGTGTAATGGTTAAGAGCAGTGGACTCGTAATCTGGTGAACCGGGTTTGTGTCCCCGCTCTTCCACATGCAGCTGCTGGGTGACCTTGGGCTAGTCACACTTCTCTGAAGTCTCTCAGCCTCACTCACCTCACAGAGTGTTTGTTGTGGGGGAGGAAGGGAAAGGAGAACGTTAGCCGCTTTGAGACTCCTTTGGGTAGTGATAAAGCGGGATATCAAATCCAAACTCTTCTTCTTCTTGTGACATTATCAGATAAGGAAATAAACCCTTCTCCACATTAAATTGCATTGCGGTGGACCCATTTTTTAAAAAATAAGCATCTTTATTGAAAGTTCAAAAAGTACATAATTGTATGTGCACTAAACATAGTGAGACATAAATAAAAGAGAGAAAAAGAAAGAGAGAGACAGAAACTGTGTAGAAGGGAAAATAAAGGGGGGGACGACCCAAAACTGTATACTTTACAAGGTTGTTATTGCACTTCACCAGATCTTAGCCTATTTGTAAGAATGGATTCCAAATATCATTGCATTTGTCAATGGCAAGTCTGCATTTATATGCAAGTTGTTCATATGTTGCAAGTTTGTATAAGTCTTCAATCCAATTGTAGAAGGGAGCGGCATTTTCCTATTCATCAGTATCAGTCTTTTTGCTGTGGTAAGGGCATGGAAAGTCCATAGTGGACCCATTTGTTCCACCAGCTTGGAAGCTCCCTTATCCCACCTTTGGTCCATCTCACGCAGTATTATCTACACTGATTGACAGAAGCTATTGAGGGTTTCATACTGGCGCCCTTGCCAGCCCTACCTGGAGATACTAGGGGTTGAATCTGGGGCCTTTTGCATGCAGTGCTCTACCACTGAGCTATGTCCTGACTGTTCTGCAGCATAAGCTGTTGGTTCAACCTTGTGAACCATTTCATTGACTGCCATATTGTTAAGCAGGCCTCATTGAGATTAGGGTCTCATTCAAGTGCAAGCCATGTTTCATTGCAAATATGAAATATATTGCAACCAAAATCTAATATATATATTTTAAAAAAATGCATAGAAAGTATGCTTCAGTAAAGGACTGCATGTCACAAAAAGGTGTGTGGAGCATTTATGCAAGCGTCAAATGTATGCCTCTAAGCTTAAGGGACACGGGTGGCGCTGTGGGTTAAACCACAGAGCCTAGGACTTGCCGATCAGAAGGTTGGCAGTTCGAATCCCTGCGACGGAGTAAGCTCCCTTTACTCGGTCCCTGCTCCTGCCAACCTAGCAGTTCGAAAGCACGTCAACGTGCAAGTAGATAAATAGGTACCGCTCCGGCAGGAAGGTAAACGGTGTTTCGGAGCACTGCTCTGGTTTGCCAGAAGTGGCTTAGTCACGCTGGCCACATGACCTGGAAGCTGTATGCCGGCTCCCTTGGCCAATAAAGTGAGATGAGTGCCACAACCCCAGATTCAGCCACAACTGGACCTAATGGTCAGGGGTCCCTTTACCTTTAAGCTTAAGGAAGATGCAATGGCTGTGCCTTGTACCACATTCTTTTGCCCATTTTATCTGCCTTACTCTACCACCTGGATTAGTCAATATGGCCTTACATTTGCCCTGGCAAAGTAGGCAAAGTCACAGTTACTTTATCTCCCACCTTATCGCCTTTTAAAGACAACTAAACTCTTCTGACCTGACAATTCCAACACTGTTGGACTGATTTCAGCCCCATAAATGTATGGTTCACTTTGAATGATGGGCATATTTCAAATCTAAGATAATATTATAGAACAGTTTTCAGAAATCTGAAGCACTTCCCACTTATTATCTCAGTAATCCTTAACAACAACTATGAAAGAATGGTTAGTAGTATTATCTCAAAATTTTCAGGTTGGGCGTGGTAGTGGTTCTGAGGCTGAAAGAGAATGGTTTCCTTAAAAACATCTAGTTCATGGCTGAAGTGAATTTTATTGGGGAACTGCCCAGCTCAGAGACTATAATCTTATTCAGCAGTTCCATGAGAATAGGACTCAGCTTCAAGGAAATGTTATAGGAGTTATGGGCTTTATATCAATGTAGCGCACCAGCATTCATATCTTGTGACATCTCAAATCATTGAAACATCTCAAAAAATGTAAGAACTTGGATATTAGGCTTCCGGTTTCAATTGCTGTGTATTTTTTGCTAACAACTTTTAAAATGTTGGGTTTGCATGTTTTCTAAGTCAGTTTGTGCTAAAGAAACCTGTGGATGAGCATTGACCACATATTCAGTTTGGACTCTGATTTGGCGTTGTGAAATAGTCTAATTAGGCTCAGGGGTCTGAGTCTGCATCATTCTCCCCCACCTCCATTCAGTACTGGGGGGGGGGTGGCTTTTTGACAGATGTGGAAGAAATTTGCAAGCAAGCTCGTGCCTTCCGAGGACACAAATCCCACCAAATTTCAGAGGGATAGCTGCAATGCTTCTACCACAAGGGCAGCTATAGCAGTTTGGGCATCTGACACATCTCCCCACCCAATCATTATTGGGAAATCAAAAAGAACAACTGATTTCCCCCTTTCGATAGAAATGGATGAAATATAGGCAGAGTAGCCCTCCAATATGGCTTAAGCATTTCTAATTACATACAAATATGTCCAGGGGCATTTGTGCTAGAAGCCTCCAAAATTCATGGGGCAGAATTGGATGAAATTTGCAGGCAACATGGCTTCTTCTGAAGGCATGAATCCTGCCAAATTTAAGAAATTTAGCTGCAATAGTAGCCATTGCAGTTTGAAGGTGCTGGAAATGACTTACTTTTCCCAAGGGTTTTGTGAGCAATCGGTGTGACACTTGTAGATCTGGGGACCATTCCCCAAAGTAAGAAACCTACCAAAGTGTAGACATATAGGTCCAGGGACTTCTATGTTAAACAGTTGATTTGGGGCGGGAAGAATTGAAGGGCTTTTGCCATTCTCTCTGCTTACAGGTGAGATGTCAGGCCTGAAGAAACTCCCCCTTCCTGATCCTGGTATTTTCCTTAAGTTAACGTATGTGTTGAATTTGCAAAGCTGCTCTGTCTCCCACTGCATCACTGGAACACTATGAAAGAAGAAGAAGAAGAAGAAGAAGAAGAAGAAGAAGAAGAAGAAGAAGAAGAAGAAGTCTCAAAGCAGCTAACATTCTCCTTTCCCTGCCTTCCCCACAACAAACACTCTGTGAGGTGAGTGAGGCTGAGAGACTTCAAAGAAGTTTGACTAGCCCAAGGTCACCCAGCAGCTGCATGTGGAGGAGCGGGGATGCGAACCCGGTTCACCAGATTACCAGACTACCGCTCTTAACCACTACACCACACTGGCTCTCAGGAGGTCTGTTTAGATGTATGCAACTTGTATACATCCCAATTTGCCTCTGGATTCATGTGAATCCAACACATCCCCCTAGTATTAGCAATGTTTTATTTTTTTACTGCTTCTAAGTGGAAGCAAATATATTATAAAATGATGCAATTAAAAAATAGAACCTTTTTTTAGTAAAAAAACTATTACCCCCCCCACCTCAAATAATGTTTGTAGGAAATGCCACATTTACTTTATGTTCTTTTTCTTCATCCTGACATAATGCTGCTGCGTGATTATGCGTGTGGACAGGTTGAGTTCTGAAATGGTTATTAACAGGCCACGAAATCTCTAGTTTTCTTCAGGGGAAATGTTCTGCATACCTTCGGGTTGTTGTTGTTTTTTAAAAATATTGTTTTGTTTTGTTATTTTTGCATGTTTGTTGTGGGAAGGATGAAATGGTTCAATGAAGCTGACATACACCGACGCTGACCTTAATCAACTATTTTTTTTAATACTTCCTATAGCCTGTACATCCTATAGGGATTTGTTGAAGATCAAGCATATCAGCATCAAGGGTATTGAGCTTTCCTGAAAACCTATTTATGCAAGGCATCATGCACATGCATAGCAATGCTGAGTGTATCAGTCAGACAGACTATATCTAAGGCTAAGAATGAGTGCTGTATCCCGGGGAGGATTACGGTTAGAGGATTAATAAAACATGTTGTAAATGTCAAACCTGTTCATTACAAAATTGCAGGAAGTGTGTTGTACGTAGTAACCAGTTCTGAGATATGCAAATAGTATATTTATGGTTAACAGACTGGCCCTAAGAGAAAAAGCAGATTCATAAGAACATATATATGAGACCCTACCTGCCCGCAGACTGTCTTGCCAGAGTGGTGCATGCTCTGGTTATCTCCCACTTGGAATACTACTGCAATGTGCTCTATGTGGGGCTACCTTTGAAGCTGACCCAGAAACTACAACTAATCCAGAATGCGGCAGCTAGACTGGTGACTGGAAGTGGCCACCAAGACCATATAACACCAGTCCTGAAAGACCTTCATTGGCTCCCAGTACATTTCCAAGCACAATTCAAAGTGTTGGTGCTGACCTTTAAAGCCCTCATCGGCCTTGGCCCAGTATACCTGAAGGAGTGTCTCCACCCCCATCCTTTAGCCCAGACACTGAGGTCCTGCTCTGAGGGCCTTCTGGCAGTTCCTTCCTTCCTTCTTAAATTTATATCATGCTCTTTCCTCCCAAATAACTTTTGGGCAGCAAACACTCAAGCAATAAGAGAACTGAAACATCAAAATATTATCTGAAAGCCCCTGAAAACAATTCCAATACAGATGCAGACTGTATTTCTGTAGGGAACTGTATTGTTCAATTCAGAGAGGGGCGTTTGTTTGCTTTTTACACATATTGTTCCAGGAGATGCAAATTAACAAGATTTACATTAAAAAATGAATAAATTTCTTTCCCAGCTCTAATTACAAGACACACCAGAATTCTTTAACTGTAGGATCAGCTGTTTATTAGGGCCACCAAAACATCAATTTTCTGCTGGTTGCAACCGTGCATGTCAGCTTTTAAAGATTTCACCCTCCATTTCCTAATAAAAAATGGTGGATCCCGACATGCTGTGCACATTCAAGGAGAAGCTGCAACCAGCAGTGTCATTGAATTAGCTGAACTGTAACTCTTACAACTAATTATGTGTTGCTCTTTAGCCACCTCATTGCCGAAGAGAAAAGATGACAGTTCAAATGCGCTAGAAGAGAAGTTATGCAAAGCTGGGCTCCTTTCAGAGCCTCAGTGAATTAACTGGAGTAAAGCTAAGTAAAGATTAATCCCTCTGTTGTATGCATGTGTACATTTTAATGAGACCTGCAGGGTAGCAGGGCATTGTATTAGGTGATTGAGCTAATGCTGCCAAAACTGTTGCCTTTTTTTCATTTTCTTTTTAAAGTGAAGATAAACTGTACAGAGCTGGAAGAACTACAAAATTTGCATGCTCTCCACGTGTATTTGAACATGGTTTTCTTTTCATGATGGCCCCATCTAGTGCTACAGTTTCCAGAAATATTTAATGGAAATATAGGACCGATTCACAGGTCAGTGTGTCTCTCTGTGTATATGTGTGTGTAGCCCCCTGCAACATTCTGTTGTAAGCCTCACTTATATCTATCCTATAGCACACTCCTATAGCAGTAGGGGACAGAGAATCCGCCCTGAAATAACTACCAGATCCAGAGTTCTGCTGCTCTCTTCTTTATGTCTCTGATAGGAACAGAGTTACAGCCATAATCTTGTTGTCTACCTGAGGCTTCATTCACCTGATGAAGTAGACAAACTTTCTAAAATGAGGTTGTGGGAGATGGCAGCAACAAATATTCCACGGGCTGTGATTTTCTTGTTTCAGTATTGAAGCTGAAATCAAACCCAGTTTTGAAGGCAAACCCCCTACTCAAATGTTCATTGTGGAATCAAATCACATCTATTATTATTTTTTAAATAGTGTAAATAGAGACACGGTAGTCCTCAGTCATACTAAATGCTGCATTCATT